GGATGCTAGACAGCTATACCCACCCTGCCCCTGCTGTTTTTAAAAAAAGGAAGCCCTGTTTAAACATTATAAATTTTTGTTTGGCCTGCCTCCGTTTTTCGAACTGTCTTCTAGCATGTTGATTTGTTCTGGCAGCACAAGATGAAGATTCAAAGCGGTATTCTTATTCTTCCTCCAAGCTTTCTTCTTCTGTCCTTTGGGAGAGAAGAGCCTCTTGCTTTTTTGTCCAGGGTGACCAAAGAACTAGAGATCAGAGAAAGACAGAGAGAGAGAGATGGGAACATACCATAAATGTGTACTTCTGTGCATAACTATATATTATATTTGCTTCAGGGTACCCCTACTAGCCTTTCAATTAAATTTGGTTGGTTGGTTTGTTTGCCTGCTTGCTTGTTTGTTTACTATTCAGTCGTTTTGCTGCAGTATTTTCTCTGCTCACTGGAACTTGTTCATCTCTGTACAGGCAGAGCAGGCAATGGTGGTTGAGGACTTGAACACTCTCTTGAGAAAAGAAATTAATCATAAGTGCACCTGTTGTTGAAATGTCGGAAAGATGGTGGTGGTTTGTTGGTACAGGGCAAACATCTGGCTTCTCAGCTATATGGGAAATATATCTATTATGTTGGACTCCATCTCCACATGCTGTTCAGCTGCTGCTGGCACAGAGGATGACTTTTGGAATAGTGAGCATGGAGTCCACATGATGATGATGATGATGATGATGATGATGATGATGATGATGATGATGATGATGATGATGATGATGATGCCGCATTTTTCCCAACAAGGGACCCAAAGCGGCTCACAACATTAAAATTCACACAATTTAAAAACAGTTAAGTTAAATATTAAAAGATAAACAATATATGATTTAAAATACAATTAAAAGATTAAAACATGAAAACATTAAAAAGATTAAAATTTCTACTGAAATTGGGTTCAGGGATTCAGTTATAATTTGTTACAAGCCTGCCTGAAGAGATGGGTCTTTAGCTTTTTTCGAAAGGATGAAAGGGAAGGGGCCATCCTGATCTTCTGAAGGAGAGAGTTCCATAACCTGGGAGCTGCCACAGAGAAGGCCCTCTCCTGTGTCCCTGTCAGCTGTGCTTGCGCTGGCAATTGGACTGAGAGGAGAGTCTTCTCTGCTGATCTTAATTGCCGATAAGACCCATATAGGGAGACACAGCCCTTCAGGTAGCCTGGAACCAAGCTGTATAGGGCTCTATAGGTAATGACCAGCACTTTGAATGTAAATATCATGGTGGGAGAATTTGTAGGGAACAGTAAACTCTTTGGACCAATAAAAATGTTTCAGACATGTTTTTAAAAGAGCCAAAACAATTTTTTCTGTGCCCTTCAGATATAAACATAGTGACTGAATTTCTTTGCTTCGCAATAGTAAATCTCAGTAGTATAGGCTCATTGAATCAGTGGAAGTTTGGTGAGTCAGCTCCTCTGTAAGTTCCATTGATTCAAGTGGATCTACTCTGTGACTTACTTTAGCACAGTAAGTTGCAACTACAGTAGGTCTATTTGAATAAATAGGATTTATGTAGGAGTTTACTCACCAAGTCTTCACTGATTCAGTGTGCACACTTTAGTGTGACTTGCTACACTAAGCAACAGGATTTCACCCACGTTCCCATAGTTTTACCTTGAATAGAGTTAAATTGAGTTGGTTACCCAACTCTCTGTTGTTAATGCTATATGCTAATTCCTTGAAAAGGGAAGATATTGTTGGTGCTGTGCATTAAGCATCTCCCACGTGTCATGCTAACATGTCATATTACTAAGTCATGTGCTAATAAAACCTATTATTGGAGGGTTTGCTTTTCTCAAGTGATAGTATACTGTTTGAATCTGGTGGAGGTGGTACTCGGTTCTGTATATATTGGTGGCCCACAGGGGGAACACAGAGGATTTGTCTCTAATTACCTGGTGTAGATTAATTTGGGACTTGGTTCTTTCAGAGCGTCTGACCCAAGGACAACGTACATTGCAGTGAATTTGATGTTATCTGGTTCCTTTTATTAATTATGTTCAAACATGACAAATAACTTGATAAACCCACAAAACATACAGTATTTGATTGGAATATACAATAGGATTTTATACACACACATACACATAATGAGATAGATTAATCTCTGCTTCATAGTATAAATGGATGTCTAATCAATGTATCAATAGTATATTAATTCAAGTGGTCAATAATTGTGACCATTCAAAGCCTCATTGTTTCTTACTCCAGGAATTCTCTCCGATTCTGCAACAGCCTGAAAAAAGCAGTCTTAGGTTCTAAGGCAATAATATTAACCAGTCTCTTTGCCTTTCCAGCCTTTGTCTTTTGACAGTTAGACTCCACCCTTCTTCATTTTTTATTCCTGTTTAAAAATGCATTAGTGTACTACCTACCCATTGGTATGTAGCATTCCACAGTATACAAGACTAAAAGGAGAGTTCAGGTGAGGTCAGCTTTCTTCCTTTACATCTTCTCTACCAATTGTTAGGGGACGTGGTGGTGCTGCGGGTTAAACCGCAGAAGCCTCTGTGCTGCAAGGTCAGAAGACCAGCAGTTGTAAGATTGAATCCGCGCGATAGAGTGAGCTCCCGTCACTTGTCCCTGCTCCTGCCAACCTAGCAGTTTGAAAGCATGTAAAAATGCAAGTACAGTAGATAAATAGGTACCACCATGGTGGGAAGGTAATGGCCTTCCGTGTCTAGTCGCACTGGCCACGTGACCACAGAAACTGTCTACGGACAAATGCTGGCTCTACGGCTTGGAGAAAGGGATGAGCACTGCACCCTAGAGTCGGACACGACTAGACTAAATGTCAAGGGGAACCTTTACCTTTACCAATTGTTACTTTAGTCTTTCACATAACTATATGTATATGTTCATGCATCCTCCTTTTTGACCCTAGTATGCCATTCTCAAAGTGTGAACTGGGATTCTAACCTAGAATGTCTCATGAAGTAGTTGCTGGTGAGATTTATTAGCAGGTGGAAAAGCAGATTGCTTGGCTCTTATTTAAGTGATGTACCACTGATGTGGGGCAGGGGGGTAAAGTTTACTTTCAAGGGGAATTCTTTTCTGTCAGAGGGACGTGGTGGCGCTGCGGGTTAAACCACAGAAGCCTCTGTGCTGCAAGGTCAGAAGACCAGCACTCGTAAGATCGAATCCCCATGACAGAGCGAGCTCCTGTCGCTTGTCCCAGCTCCTGCCAACCTAGCAGTCCAAAATAATGTAAAAATGCGAGTAGATAAATAGGTACCACGACAGTGGGAAGGTAACGGTGTTCCGTGTCTAGTCGCGCTAGCCATGTGACCACGGAAACTGTCTACAGACAAACGCTGGCTCTATGGCTTGGAAACAGGGATGAGCACTGCGCCCTAGAGTTGGACACGACTGGACAAATTGTCAAGGTGTAATCTTTACCTTTACCTTACCACTGATGTGGGGCAGGGGGGTAAAGTTTACTTTCAAGGGGAATTCTTTTATGTCAGAAGAGCTTGACTGTGTTTCATCCTTACTAACGAACAATAAAAGAATGATAGATAGAAGATATATGGGAAGAGGGCTTGTATATGTGACAGACTTCTGAAGGTGTTCCACTGTGCACATTGAACACACTGACAGATGGCACCCTTCTCCATGACCCCTAGGGGTGAATGCTGGACCACTCAGTGTTGGGAATCAGTGAAGCCTTTATTCTCCATATTAAAGTAAATGATGAAGATCCACTTATTGCAGGGGCAGGTGAATAAATGCATATACCCAGAGACCGTAACAGAGGAAATGTTTAGCTTGTTTTCTGTATTCTAACAATGGCCATTAAGAAACCAATGTATTCCTATCCATGTGATGGTGCTGTCATCCTAATCTGTTTTTGGCCACATTATGAAAGATTCTGAATTCATTCCAGTATATGAAACCAGAGAAACATTACCTGCCTTTTTGTCTCACTTCTTAAAATATGGGCTGCTTTAGGGTTATTGCACATATTGGTTAGGAGCAACTATATGGGGGTTTAAGTTGAGCCAAAGCTGATCTTGTGAAGGACAGTGATCACAAGTACTCTCTGTTTTGGGAAATCCCTACATGCTTATTGTAGCATAAAATCCAGCTGCAGAGGAGAAGTGGAACGTGCTAGCTATCAGAGGGCCAATAACAAAGACAACCTCAGCTCTGAAAGCCTTAAACAATCACTGCTGTGAGCTGTTAAGACTCATTTTTACGACTGTAATGGTTAGAAAACTTCTAGAAGCCTCATTTTTTCCAGTTAATACTTGTAACTGCGCAGTAAACTCCTTCTCTGTGGCCGTTCCTTCGGGGCTTAAACATGAAAATCAGAAAGAGCTTGGTGATTTATCTAAATAAGATTGTCCCAGTCCTACACAGAAAACATAAAAAAATGCCAGATGAACCACCTGGTTCCTAAGTTTGCTTCTGGGAGGGAAAAGAATGCTTGCTGTTAAATTCATTATCTCTTCCTGCCAGTGGCTTTTTGACTTTTAGAGTGTCAAAGTCATAGGAGGAGAAACAGGAAGACTTTTGAGTTTTTATCAGTTAGAGAGGAAACATTGTAATGTAATACAGAAGATGCTTGTTTTTTCCATACACCTGGCTTGCAGATGGCTGTACTCCCAGAACATTTCCTGGGCTGAATGAGCTAGATCTGAGCTGTTCTTTGCAGATAGAAGTTGCTGATGATTGCTGTCCAAATACACAAAGTTAAGAACTGAATGAACTGCTTTTGGGTACGGAGCAGTTGTCCTGTGCTTTTATAATATAAATCCTGACTGAGATTTCTCGGTTGATGTCCTGGCAAAAGGACATCACCTTTTTTTTCCCTTATATCAACTGAAAATTGGATTTGAAGCAAAAAAAAATGCTGTGGCATGAAATATTCATAACTCTTTCGTAGAGTTAAAATAAATTTTCTTCTCAGATGATTGTAAAATGGTTTTCTGTTCCCATTCCCAATTTTGTTTTTCAGTCTTGTCAGGCTGATCTCGTGAAGGACAATGGTCACAAGTACTTCCTTTCCGTTTTGGCAGATCCCTATATGCCGGTAAGGTTCAACTGTCAGCCCTTCCCTCAGACACCTTTGTTTAGATCTTACTTGTTTTATTTTGGTCTGTGTGTATCTTTTATGAGTTAGCTCAGCTTTGTTATATAGATGGTGAAAGAATTTGAGATGTAGTTCTAGCTTGCATCATGTTCTGTTGAGTGACAGCATGCAGCAATACAGAGAGCTCTCTCTTTCTCCCATAAGGGAGAAATTGATTGGCAATATACTCAGAGCAGACAGAAGAAAGTTTCCAAAGTATTATCCATAGCAAAAAAAGCTAAAAAAAACAGAGCCATATGGCACATGTTTTATTTGGTATAAGCTTTCACAGAGTACAGCCAGTGAAAGCTTATACCAGATTAAAACAGGTTGGTCTTAAAGATGCTGCTAGGCTGCCACGAAAGAAGGTGCATTAATATAATGCAGGAATTCGCTGCAACAACATGGTGACTGCCACTGGGCTAGAAAGTTTTTTTAAAGGCTTAATAGGTTAGTAATGCTTAAATGAGAAGAGAAGACAGGGAAAACCCCCTGATCTTGGGAAAGTGTGAAGGCAAGAGGAGAAGGGGACGAGATGGCTGGACAGTGTCATCAAAGCTACCAACATGAATTTGACCCAACTCCGGGAGGCAGTGGAAGACAGGAGGGCTTGGTGTGCTCCGGTCCATGGGGTCACGAAGAGTCGGACACGACTTAACGACTAAACAACAACAAATGGTTAGATGGAGCTTTGATTTTCATAGGTGCTGTGGTAATGAGTGGTGGAAGAGCTAATGCCTTCGTACCCTAATTTTGGATATCCTGACTACTGGGTAACAAGTTGCTATATCTTTGGTATGATCCACCAGGGATCTGAGCTGGGTGGATATACTGCTATACGATACACTTGATAAACTAAAGAACAGGGGTAAAGTGTCATTATTTTTTTCTTAAGTGTTTCATCACAAAAAAATTCTGTTTCTCTGTGTTCATTTTTCCTTGCAAATGACTTGGTAATAAACCAACTGAGTAGTTATTTATCATCTGTATCTTGTATAACTATTGTGCTTTTTTAAAAAAAATATGTGTTTCAGGCTGTCAGGAAACATAATTGCAGTAAAGACCCTGTTTTTTCTTCGTGGTCCTTCAATTGCTTGCATGAATCAGAGTGGCACTGGTCTCTTCCCTGTATTTTTTTTCCAGCCTGCTCTTAAGGGGAAAATATAACAAAGTACAAAACAATTTTCAATCTCTCCATACTCCATTTGACAGACAGTGGCCTTGGGAAACAAATAGTTATGTAGCTCTTTAAATGTATTAAATTAAAGCATAAAGCCGTAGCATTGTTGATAATTTGCCACATGGAGAGTTAGAGCCAGTAGAAAATTCACATAGTTCTTTTACAGAAGGTATAGAAACTAGTGTCATCTTTTCATTTTGTCTGACACATTCCTGTCTGTGTGCTACATACTGAGAGAGGCTTTTCTTTGTGACATTTAAAATTTTTCCAGCCTTACATCAGAAAGCTTTAACCCACATTAAACTGAATTAACTAACTTCCTGTGAAAGGGCAGCTTTACCACCACCTGAGAAAGGATGCTTATTGTCCATGGCCATTTTTCTGCTTTTGTTAAATAATGCAATTTTTTTGTTATGCCTGAGGTTTCTCAAAGTCTCCCACTGTCACCCAAGGGACATAAAATTCCTATGCAAGGATGCTGTCTGTCTTCCAAAATTTGGGCTTGAAGCATTATTTTATTTTTTCAAAGTTTGAAACTAAACATGTTCTTGTGTATGTTTGTTAAGGCTGAACATAGGACAATGACAGCTTTCATCCTGGCAGTGATTGTCAACAACTACAATACAGGGCAGGTGAGTACAAGAGGAAAAGGGGACTATTAATGCCACATGTGACCTTGGAAAGAATCTTGAACTAAAGTGTTGGACACCAGTACCCCAAACCATTGTATCTTGGCTCCTGGAGAGGATAATTTTCCTTGTAACTAATAAATGGGCAATCAGGTTGTTGCAATGCATTGTTCTTTGTTGTAGGAAGCCTGTCTTCAAGGAAATTTGATTGCCATTTGCCTGGAGCAGCTGAATGACCCACACCCTCTTCTGCGCCAGTGGGTGGCTATTTGCTTGGGGCGTATCTGGCAGAATTTTGACTCTGCACGATGGTGTGGTGTGAGGGATAGTGCCCATGAAAAACTCTACAGCCTTCTCTCTGATCCAATCCCAGAGGTAATCTTCTATATACTATATTCTTCACATCTTCAGACTTTGGTAATCGTCTTTATGTTGGGGCTAGACAACTAAGCACACTCCAGATATTTTGGACTATAACTCCCATAATCCCTAACCATTAGCACTGTGGTCTGGGGATAACACAGTGTAATCTAACACATTTGGGGAAAACTGCTCTAGACATAAAATTAGAAAGCTGTTTAATAGGGTTTCAAATGATTAGTTGATTTTTCATTCTGGGTAATAATTTTTAACAACATTTAATTAACTGGAAAAAAGAGCCGCTAATTAATCAGGGAGATGATTTAAAATAGCAACACACAACAACAACAGTAGTAATAGCAGCAACAGCAGCAGTAATAAAACTGCAAGTGTTACCATAGACCTATGAGGCATTTTCCACATAGAAGTAGTACTTCAGAATTATTGTTTTCACCCATATACAAATTTAATCACTAGATTAATCAATTACAACTAATGCAGTTAATCAGCCGAAAGTTCTTTAATCAGGTTCCAGCCCTACTAATTAAGATCTAACCAAAGATTTCACAAGAGTTAGATAAATGCTTTCTGAAGCTTATCCTGCAAAAAAATTGCAACTACAGTATTTCTTTTGGCACTAACCAAGCCATGTAACATGGCTGAGCTGCTCTGGAAGAGCTAAGCCAAACTCAGTGCCCATTCTTTCCAGCAAGTGATGATTTTCAGACTTGCAAGGAAGGCAAGGGTGCAGCCTTATTGATAACCTCAGACAGAGATTTCTGATACATTTCCAAGACCACAAGATTGCTGCATAAAAGGTTCAGAATGGATAGCATAGATAATTATGTTTTTCTTCCAGGTTCGCTGTGCTGCAGTGTTTGCCCTTGGTACCTTTGTAGGCAATTCAGCTGAGCGAACTGATCATTCTACCACCATTGATCACAATGTTGCAATGATGCTGGCCCAGCTCATCAATGATGGAAGTCCCATGGTCCGAAAGGTATACCAAAGGGGTTGGGGGGTGGGTGGGATATTGCTAGCAACCTTACAGGATTGGAAGAGGAGCAGAGTTCAACCTCTTAATGTTAATAAGAAGAGCCCTGCTGGATCAGGCCAAGGGCCCATCTAGTCCAGCTTCCTGTATCTCACAGTGGCTCCCCCCAGATGCCTCTGGAAGCACACAAGACAACTAGATACCTATTTCCTGAGACTCCTCCCCTGCATCTGGCATTTTGAAGTACCTTCCTTTTAAGCCTGGAGATTATACATCCCCATCATGGCTCGTAACCTGCGATGGACTTTTCCTCCAGAAATCTGTCCAATCCCCTTTCAAAGGCATCCAGGCCAGATGCCATCACCACATCCTGTGGCAAGGAGTTCCACAGACTAACGCCACCCTGGTTAAAGAAATATTTTCTTTCGTTTGTTCTCATTCTCCCAACACTCAATTTGAGTGGATGTCCCCTGGTTCTGGTATTGCATGAGAGGAAAAAGAGCTTCCCTCTATCCATTTTATCCATCCCCTGCATAATTTTATATGTCTCAATCATGTCCCCCCTCAACCGCTTTTTCTCTAGAATAAAGAGCACCAAATGCTGTAGCCGTTCCTCATAAAGGTGGTGCCCCAACCCAGTAATCATTTTAGTCAATCCCTTCTGCACCTTTTCTGGTTCCACTATGACTTTTTTGAAGTCTGTCATGGACAGCTCAGAACCCATCAGCTGATAAATAAAGTTTTGGTTTTTTGCCCCAATGTGCATTACTTTACATTTTCTTATATTGAAATACATTTGCCATTTTGCCACCCATTCTCCCAGTTTGGAGAAATCTTTCTAGAGCTCTTCACAATCCCTTCTGGTCTTCACCACTTGGAAAAGTTTAGTGTCATCTGCAAACTTGGCGATCTCACTGCTTATCTCTGTCTCCAGGTCATTTATGAACAGGCTGAAAAGCACTGTGTGCCCCAGGGCTTTTCTCCTCTCTCCATTGTGAAAATTGCCCATTGACATCTACTGTCTGTTTCCTGGTTCTCAACCAATTCTCAGTCCATAAAAGGACCTGCCCTCTTATCCCCAGACTGTGGAGTTTTCCCAGTAGCCTTTTGTGAGGGACAATGTCAAATGCCTTCTGAAACTCCAGATAGACAATATCCACTGGTTTGCTCACATCCACATGCCTGTTGACCTTTTCAAAGCATTCTAAAAGGTTTGTAAGGAAAGACTTACCCTTACAGAAGCCATGCTGATTTCCCCTCAGCAAGGCTTGTTCTTCCATGTGTTTGAAGGTTTTATCTTGGATGAGGCTTTCCACCATCTTCCCTGGAACAGATGTTAGGCTAACGGGCCTATAGTTTCCCCGGTCCCCTTTCCTCTGCTATCCTCCAGTCCACTGGCATTGTGGCTGTTTTAAGGGAAAAGTTGTATATTTTAGTTAAGAGATCAGCAACTTCATTCCTCAGTTCCTTAATAACTCTTGAGTGGATGCCATCTGGGTCTGGTGACTTATTGATCTTCAATTTGTCAATTAGGTCTAAAACATCCTCTCTTTTAACCTGTATCTGATTTAATTCATTAGTCAGGAGGGGCTGTTCAGGCAGCGGAATCAAGTCCCCCTTTACCTCCCCTTTACCACCCTCACCATCCAGAGGGCAAGCAGCTTCTCTGGCAGGTTTCCTGCTTCTAACATATTTAAAGAAGCTTTTATTATTCCCCTTTATATTGCTGGCCATACATTCCTAAAAGTCTTTCTTTGCTTTCCGTATCATCTTCTTACATTTCTTTCGCCAGAGTTTGTGTTCCTTTTTATTTTCCTCATTTCAGAAGGATTTCCGTTTACGGAAGGACCCACCCTTGCCCTTTAAAGTCTCTCTAACTCCGCTCGTTAACCATGCCAGCACCCTCTTGGACTTAGTTGAGCCCTTCTTTCTCTGCGGTATACACTTCTGCTGGGCCTCCATTACTGTTGTTTTAGACAGGCTCTATGCACACTGGAGAGATTGGATTCTTTTTACCTTCCCTTTCAACTTCTTTCTAACTAGTTTCCTCATCTGAGGGAAGTCTGCCCTTTGGAAATCAAGGGCTTTTGTGTCAGATTTGCTTGACACTCTCCCCCCAACATGCATGGCGAAAGAGACCGCTGCATAGTCTCTATTCCCTAGCGACTCAGTGACATTTACGTCCCTAACCAAGTCCTGAGTGCCACACAAGATTAAATCCAGAGTCACCAGTCCTCTGGTGGGCCCCATGACAAGTTGCTCCAAGGGACAGTCATTTAGCATGTCAAGAGACTGGTCTCTCTTTCTTGACCCAAGCACACACTGATCCAGTCGATGTGATGATAGATAATTGGAAGTCCCCCATGATTACAATCCTGTCCCTCTTGGACACCTCCCTGATTTGTCTCCTCATTTCAAGGTCCCCCTCAAGATTTTTATCTGGAGGATTCTCATTCTAGTAGACCAATCATAACGTCCCATCACACTCCCAGTTCTAATTCCTACACTATCATCACTTTGTGGTTCTCTACCCTGTCCACCCTCATTCCACAAGGATGAGGAGTCCTGATCCAGACGCCAGTCAGTTCCTTCCAGCTTTCCCCGGGGATTCAGTTTAAAAGTTCTTCTGCCACCTTTTTAATGTTACATGCCAGAACAGTGTAACAATATCACAAGCCATATCCAATAGGCAATACTAATTCTAAATATTAAAGGACCAAATGCTTGCAACAGAGAGTTGTCTTGAGAAATAATCCAATAACTAGTTTGTATGTTGACCTTTAAATTATATTGCCTCAGTTAAGGCAAGTTGTCTTTTCTGTCTTTTTAAATATGCTATTAAATTGTGTTAAAAGGGTTTTATTTAGTACTTTTTAATGAGTGGTGCGATTGTTTTTAAATTTTGTAATTGATTAATTTTCATTTTTAACACTTTTTTAAAAACTCTTTTTAAGATACCTATTGTCTCTGTGCTGTGAGAAGGGCATAAATTAGAGAGAGAGAGAGAGAGAGAGAGAGAGAGAGAGAGTTTCTGCCTGTAGAACCTTTCAAGGAACTCAGCAAACAAATGGCTCTGTGTATGCTGTAGCTACTTTGGCAGTCTTGCAGGTCATACTGGCTCCCTGTTTCTCAGTTAGTAGTCATCCCCCGGCCCCAAATGGCAAGTCCTGTCCTGTCAGTCATTTTCTCTCTCCTGTTCTTGGGAGTCTTACATAAATGCCACTTTGCACTTGGCTTTGTGTTCTCAGCCTGAAGAATAGCTTTGTGCTGCTCTCTCCTGTTCTGAAGGAAGTAAAATTAAGTTTATCACCCCAAGTGTGATGGAGAACGCTTGCTGCAAGTGGTAGGTGAGAAAGTACCCTTGAGAAGAGGACATGTAGTCACCATGGCTCCCGTCACTGTCAGAACTCCCGGGAGCCATCATTCTAAAACACAGAACACTGTCTCTTGTCTGGGCTGAATATCTGGATGCTTCATTTTGCCCAGTGGAGGCAGGCCTTAGTTGAGCCCTTCTTTCTCTGCGGTATGGCTCTATGCACACTGGAGAGATGAGGTCTTTATCAATATGGCATTTCATTTGCCATACAATTTGAGAAATCCCTTTGAAACAGAAAAGAGCATTTCATAACTGAATAATGAGAGATCAGGCATTTTTAAAAGGATTATTTTAGAACTGGCAAGAAATTCACCATTGGGAAGTACATTGCTGAATGCCAACGGAAAGTGATATCTGTCAGCAGGAATCCATCAGACGTCTCTGTCACCAGTTTCACTTTGAAGCCCTAACATCAGAAAAAGGACAAGGAAATGAGATTAGTTGTTCTCTAGCTCCAGAATTTCATCACTCTGTAGAATCTCTTGTTGCTTCCCCCCACTGAAAACAGGAGCCATATTCTGTTTCGTAATCTTTTGCATTATCATTATTCTGATAGTAGACTCTTATGTGAAGATACATTAATCAAATTTGTGATGTATTTATTGCTGGCTGGAAAATGAAATATGTAACATCCCTATAAGAGGAAGAGAGATGGGTGTTGAACTACAAAAGAACTTTCCATACAACTCTCCTCCATTGGAGGGATAACATAATAAATTGTATGTGGAAAGTTGCATATTCTGGCTTCCTGTTAGGGAGTAGCAGCGTATTCATCACTTGATGGCACTGAGGGACATTGCAGCCAGAACATCTGGCTTGGTTTTCCTGTATTTACTATAGACAAAATGCATTTAATTTTTCTTCCAGCTTGTGTTTGTATACATAGGGCATTAGTGATGCTACTTGTGCAGTTAATAAAGAGGTACCAACTAAAATTTTAGTTTCCTCTAGTAAGCATCATCTTCCTAGTTCATGATATTTAGAAACTTTATGAGAATCCTCTTGGTTCTTCACACTGACATAAGGCAACAGCATGAATCACAGTTGCAAATTGCTGCCAGTTAACAGTTAAATTGCTGCTGCTTTTATTCTTTGTCATGTGCCACTTATGTGACTTGGCAAATAACAAAGAACACAAGCAGTGATTCATTAACTGCTGGCAATTCACCACTGTGATTTATGGCATAGCACTTGTAAATAACAAATAGGGCTCTGGTAATCAAACGCTGAAGTTCTGAGGATGATTTTGGTTTGCCATATTCTGCATCCAGATCTTGTGGATTCCTTCCCCACCCCCATGGAATATATATAAGGAATTGCACTCCTACTACGTTAGCATTTGTTCCATATATCACATATCAGATTTCATTCCTTTCTTTGAGGCATCAGGTCTACAGCTCTCCTGGCAAGCCATGATGTTTCTGTAAGGCATCTTAAAGTCACCCAGAATAGGAAAACAAGGCTTCAGAATCTGGAAAGTGGCCTAAGTCACCCTACCAGAGTCTAATCGGGTTAATGAGGTCCAACAGGGGAGTTTCTGTGGGCAGGAGAGGAATGGAGCCATGGCCTAGATTACAGTTCAGTACTTCTAGACACAGTACATCTGGTTGACAATATTGGCCTGATTCAAAGTGTAAGCTTACCTAGTAATAAAGGGACATTTGTTGCCAAAAAATAAAATCCTTTTGGAGTCAAATGCTTCAGCTTTCTTCAGATCTTCACACTAAAGTGAAGGGGTGGGGGGGAAATCAATGTTTCACCAAGCCAAGAATAAAAAAGTGTCCTCATCCTCATTCAAGGTGACAGATGGGTATTAATTTTGTCAGAAGGCCTTATTTTTTTTAAAAAAAATGTTCTCACAAAAGAGAAGCCTTACACTGCGCTATTGCAAAATAAGACATTTGAAAAGCCCTGCTGTGTGCTATTTTCTTTGTGTAAGGATGAGAATAGGGGAGGCATATGTACTGTTGGTTCCTTAGGAGTAAACCTGCACAGTCCAGCAATGAATCTTTATAGGAGACAGTGAGTTCAGAACAGAAGCATATTCATAGCAGTCTTGCTCTTAGCCTTACTACACTGAATTTAAAAAGGCATTTGAAGTAAGGATTACTGCATATATCTGCTGTCAAGATTTGAAATACTGTATAACTCTTAAAAGATCAAGAACCCAATAGAAGCCCAGTACAGAATATGAATGTTTCCTGTTTGTTTATCAGTTCATTTGTTCATCCAGTCATTCTTTTACTGGTCCATCTTTCTCCCAAGACTGAGAAGGGACTCAAAGCATAATTAGAAAACTAGATACTGTACAATTAAAAATGCCATAAATTGTCACAATATTAGAACACAATTAAACATATCACCATATTAAAACAATTGTAATAAAACAAACTGAAAACCATATACAATTTTTTAAAAATAAAATAAAATATGGCACTGCCCATTGAAAGTTCCTTTCTCAGCAACCAGCCATTTTTTGAAAGTTGGCTTTAATGAAAACATCTACCTACCTTTGATGAAATTTTGGAGGTGAGTTCCCCAGGTAATACTAATTTCTATCATCCAGAGTTCTGAAGTTTGATGTCACCGTTATGCTAATGATACACAAGTCTGTCTGTCCTCTCTACCCAACTCAGAGGAAGCTATTTCTGTTCTAATGCAGTGTCTTGTTTTGGTGATGAACTATCTGTCTCTGTAGCAGAGATGGCAATCTTCCTCTTCGCCATCCCAAACTAACTAGATACATACCAAAATTCTGATTGTTACACTGTAGTCTGCACCAGTTATGGTAAATCCATGAAATATGTGTCTACCCTGTGAGTCTCAGTACTTCTCAATTTAAGTCAAGGTTTGGCAACCTGCAAGCTACAGCCAATTTTTCAGGTCCCCACACCTCTTGCCCATGAGTTACCACCACAAGACCAAAAAACAATATTAAAAACAAGATACACAAGAAGAGCACATCTTGTTTTAAAGCACAGTTACACTTCAAGAGCATGACTTGTACTTAAATTTCCTGTTTGGTCAATCTGTATGCAGTGAAAATAGGTGGAAGAAACATCAGTAATATAAGATATGCAGATGATACTGTTTTATTGACAGAAAGCAGCAGTGGTTTGAAACAACTCTTGGTAAGGTGAATGAAGAAAGTGCAAAAGCAGGATTGCAATTAAAGAAGACAAAAGTTGTCTTTAAAGCTGACACTGAAGAAATTAAAATTGTTAAATATATTGTATATTTTGGTTCAGTCGTCAATCTAAGTGGGGACTGTTGCCAAGAAATCAGTAGAAGACTGAGACTCAGGAGAGCAGCAGTGAATGAACTAGAAAAGGTAATCAAGTATAAGGAGATGTCACTGGAGACCAAGGCCAAGACCATCCCACTATTGTAGTCTCTGTTATTGTGTGAAAACTAGACAGTGAAGAAAGCCAACAGGAAAAAAATGATTCATTCAAAATTTGGTTCTGGATGATACTTTTGTGGATACCATGGAGTGTAAGAAAGAGGAGCAAGGGGGTCGTAGATCAAATCAAGCTTGAATTTTCTCCAGAAGCAAAACTGACAAAACTGAGGGTCTCATGATCTGGGCACATCATGAGAAAACAAGACTCCAGAAAATATAGTAATGCTAGAAAAAGTTGAAGGAAGCAGGAAAAGAGGAAGATGAATGAGATAGATAGACTTCATAAAGGAAGTCGTAACCTTGAGTTTGCAGATGCTGAGCCAGACTGTTAATGACAGGACATTTTGGAGGTTTTTCATTCATAGAGTTGCCATAAGTCAGAAATGACTAGATGTCACATAAAATATTTCCAGATCCGCAGTAGTGTTTTAAAATAAGATGCGTGCTCCCTATGCCTTGTTCTTAAGAGAACATTTAGTTTTTTCATCACCACACATTGCTTTAGCTAACAAAGCAAATATCCCTTGATCCTTGACTTTGTATAACAGGTGTCATATTTTCTGGTCTCTGTGAGATTCTCAGACTTTTTGTGACTGAGATGCACCCTGCTTTTGCAGTGCTAAGAGGTCTTTGTATTGAATTATTTGACACACAACGGTGTTCAGAGGTCTGTTTTTCCTTATTTGCCTCTCTATAGGAGTTGGTGGTAGCACTGAGTCACCTTGTGGTCCAATATGAAAGCAATTTCTGCACAGTTGCCTTGCAGTTTATGGAAGAAGAGAAAAACTATGCACTACCTTCACCTGCTGCTCCAGGTACTACATCATTTCCTTTATGGAAGAAAACCAAGATGAAAGGTGTTTTTATATGAGAGAGGACTTTATTGACTAGATCAAAGATTGTATTCGATAACCGAGAAACATTTGTTTCTTCTTAGGCATTTTTTTAAAATGATATTCCCCAAAGTTCTTCCTTTATTTGAACAGTGATATCATGAATGCTGTTTTATTTCTTTGTGTAGTTTGGACTGCCTAATGCCAGGACATTGCCAAGGTGGTGTCTAAAATTCACATGTGTCACTGAAATACCACCTAGCACTACACGGGGAAACCCTAACTTTGTGAACGTTCTCCTCTCACAATGTACTGTGTTTATCTTTCTGACTTGCTTTTTGCACAAACCATAGTTTGCTGCTATATCAAAAAACAATAATTCAGACTTGCACTCCAGAACGGAACAAGTAACTTCAACCAGACACTATTTTCTAGTTTTGGTTTGGAAGACCCATGCAAGTCATGGTTTGTTCTAAACAGGAAGCCAGATCAGAGATGGAAGTCTACAAGGTGAGAAAGGCGGGAGTATGTGAACCTCAGGCTCAGTTATGTAACACCAAATCCTGCTTATCTGTTACCCTGGTTGCATAACTACTTTCTTTGCTGATTTCTGTAGCATTCATTGCTGCCATTAAGTATTTTTCTGTTCTTCCAGTCTTACTCTTAGCAAACTCTGAACATGACCATGTTATATCGTACAGAGTTGTAGCCCCAAAAGCAAATTCGGTGGCTCAAATCCTGCTACTTAATGTAGTAAATCTGAGTTCTATTAATTCAAATGGGCCTACTCTAGCTGTAACTTGGATGAGTAAATTGCAACTGGATTAGGCCCATTTGCACTAATGGAATGTTTGTAGGAGTTAACTCACCAAATCACTGATTCATTGGGCTTACTCTAGTGTGACACGATGCTAAGATTTCAATCAGTGTCAAATTAATATAGGGATTCTGTGTGTGTGTGTGTGTGTGAGAGAGAGAGAGAGAGAGAGAGAGAGAGGTGTGCCATCAAGTCACATCCCTCTTTTTTCCTCCACATTAGGAATTTGTTTTATTTGAGCAATAAAATAAACCTGAACAAATAATTGGTGGCTTTTCATGGAAATGTCATCTGAAATATTAAATACTCTGAATAATCTCTAGAGATGTGGGAACCTCATTTAGAAGAAAGCACAGTTGTTTCCCTGCAATGAGTAATTTAGTAACACCTTTGTTGAAAAAAATGGATTGCATTAAAAATATGAAAACCTGGACCTCCATCCCTTTGCCCTATGTTGCTGATTGTTGCAAAAAACAATAATGCCTAATGGTTATGGATCATCTTTATTTATTCAGGAGAAATCTAAGGTCCTTTTTAAGGAGAAAGGTGGGATAAAAATATTTTAAATAAATAATAATTTTAAATAAGGTAATATGTAAATAAAACACACAAGAAGCATCTCCTCCACATCACTGAAACTATCTGACTGTAGTACAGAATGTAAAGGCCGTTATACAGCACAAAACCTATTGCAATCTGTTTCAGCAAGGAAATGAGAAACAGGCCAAACATTTGAAATCTCAGGCATTGAGAGCATAATGTATCTTTTAGAGACATTTGGCTAGGGAAAAGAGCCTTAAACTTTTGTTGACCTTTTATTATGGAAAAGGTTTCTAGTCTCACACTTCACCATCACATACTGCAGCATTCAGTTAATTGAGGTTTTATGGAACTATCTTGTAAATCCCATTAGAGTTAAGGGAGGCTGTACAGAGCAGTCAGTAAATTCTGTCAGTTTCTTAGATTAGTAGATGGAAAAGGTATCTGAATTTTAGAGATGACTTGCCTTGATTATGTCTTCTCCATACAGGTACCCTTTATGCAAGGGTGGGTAACATCCAGTCTGTGACTTATGTGTAAGCCCCCCCCCCCAGCCATTTTTGTGCCCTACAAATCTAGATGATACCTCTTCTCTCGCATGTCTGGAAGAGGAGGAAGGAAATGAATCTGCGAAGCAATAGTTTTGATTGTTCTTTTATTGTGACAGTGACCTGTTTGAGAACAGATCATGCCCCTTTGCAGTGCAGTCCTGTCCCTTCACTATTGAACTGTTATTGCCATTGTTGTTATTTCTTTGTTCATGTGGATAAGTAATAATGTTGCCTCCCTAGAGAGTGGAAGCCTGACTCCAGTGCGGGACAGTCCATGCACACCAAAACTCCGTTCTGTCAGCTCCTATGGGAATATTCGACAAGTCACTACAGCAAGGAACTTGAATAAGTCATTGCAGAATCTCAGCTTAAATGAAGAATGTAAGATGGCTTTTAAGCGTTTCCTTTCAGTTTCCACTCTCATGCATGCTCTGTCTCTCACTCTTGGAAATTCTGACTGTTGACAACTTTAGTGACATTAATCTGTGCCTATAACATGGTAGACAATGTATCTAAATGCCAGTGGTGAATAATGGGACATAGGATTGATTTTGGAAAATCACCTGCTGAAATGAATTCATGGAAAGCAACTTCTCCGTCCTCTGCCCACATTGCAGATCCCTGTTGCTTGTGAAAGCAGTGCCAGGGTGCTCTTTAAAGAGGGTAACATGTGACAGTGAAGGATGCTGAAAGAAGAAGGGAGGGATCAACTAAAATCAAACCTAGGCACGTCTCTGTTATTAGAGCTCCATGAACCCAGGATGCTTCCACAAATGTCTGGCAATTCATGCCTGCTCTTCCAACAGCCAACCGTGCCTCATTTCATCACATTCCAGAACAGAAGACTTTCTGTAACAACGTCCTTCCACTTGTCAATGCTGGGACCCAGTTTGGGGTGAGACGTAGCCCAGTAGTAAAATGATGGATCCAGTGCATTTGAGGGTGCTTTGGATATGTACAGATTACCACACTTTGGCCTCTAGCTAATGTGAAGGAGAACCAAAGTCATGCTGATGCACCTCTGACTTGGCCAATTAATTTTTTTTCAGAGATCCCAAAAGTTTATGCTTCTTCATGCCACACGTATCCTTCTGTATGTGTGTGTTGTTCCACTCCACCAACTCCTTTACCTCAAGGCCAGTAGGAGGAAATAGGAGAGTGCACTAACGCTGTGTGCTCACTTTCCAAGTTAAAAGGGCGGGGGAAGAGACCACTGCTCCACAGAAACTAGTGCTAGTAGCATTCCCAAAAACCACCTTTTGAGTTCTGTAACCTGCCTATCGAAAACCAGTGCTTTAGAAAAGGTAGCTGATTTTGTATTTTGTTATTTCTTTACACTTGTCAAGGGAAAAATATTATGGTATTAGCCTTAAAGAAAAGACACATAATCTTCTTCTACAAAGGTTTGCCTCTCATTGGGCTTTGGGAACTACAGAAGTATAAATATTTTTCACTAAGAAAGTGGAATGTTTTAGACTGATATCTCTAAAGCACTCACCACCTTCTTGTTGCTGACTGAATGCCATGTGTAGGGTGTGAGCACTTTGAACACAGCCAGGGTCATTAATGTCAGAAGCTAAGCAAGGTCATGCCTGGTTAGTACTTGGGTGGGAGCCCACCATATGATTCCATGAATAAGAATCCTCTCCGCAATCGTGGAGAAACATTGCAAACCAGAGTTGCCAATATTGGGCAAGATAGACCAATGGTCTGAAGTAGTATAATGCAATTTGCTGTTTTTCAGATAAGTGTTCTTACAGTCTTTTGGTGTTTCTGTACTTCTTCTTTGACAGCTGGGAGTGCTGTTGCATTTTCCCCTGGGAACCTTAGCACCAGTAGCAGTGCCAGCAGCACCTTGGGCAGTCCTGAGAATGAAGAATATATCCTCTCTTTTGAAACCATTGACAAGATGAGAAGAGTCAGTTCCTACTCATCACTGAATTCCCTGATAGGTGAGCCTAGACATTTCAAAGTGAATCGTGTACCCTAGTGTATAGGGAAGGGAGGCTTTGAGGAGGAGGTGTAAGCAAACATCTTTGTAAGGGGAAAAGGTTGTAATGTGAACAATGCCATAGCTGAAAACATGAATTCCCTGCTGTTTTTTTAGGATAATGAGTGGGTATAAAACACTGACACAGCTGGATTTATGTGAAGGGATGTCACTTTCCTGAGGAGGAAATGGCTGCATTTTCCTACAGAAGTCCAGGGAAAAGAAACAAATGCTAAGTGGAAGTTCTAACCTCCCCCAGTCTTCAATTCTATACTGTAGGCAGATAGAATATGTAGTCCATGCTCTTTATGTACTGCCTTGTTGATATTGACATCCTTTTTTCTGCAGCATAATCAGTCTGTCCAACTGTTTGTACATAGGTTATTAAGGGATCTTAAGCCCCAGTAGTATACTAATATGAGCCATGAGTGGATGGGAGTGGGATGCAGAAACAGAGCTCCTGCATCTGAGTTACTTCCTCTTCTGCTACCATGAGAACTCTCTTACCACATATACATATATGCCATATCTCTCTCTGAGCAGTATAAGCAAACACTAAATTGGAGTAGCTGCTTGCTTGTATCATGATAGGTAGAACACACTGCTTATAGTCACTCTGATATAGCTAGTGTTTGGTTAATTTTTATTATTAATGTTCTTATTTTATTCTTAATGTTCTATGATACAAGCTGATCAGGGATTGTGAATATGATAATGACAAATTACTAAAAACTCAATCAGATTTTGCTGCTTGAAATTGCTTGCCCTAGCAGTGAATTGGCAAGTGTTTTTATACTGATTTCTTTCCCCTAGGATTTACTGAAAAGTTGCATACTTATAGCAGGGAGTGAAAGCTTTCATTAAAAAAAAAATTGCACAAAATCAGCTCAGCTATATAAAACACCTTTTGTCTATGAAATCTATTATTTCATTGCTGTTGCTTTAAAGACGTGTGTCTCTAATTATTATGTGTGTCTGGGCAGCACAGTCAAAAACAGAGCCTGAGAATGAGTTAGAGATGAGTGAGTGTAGCATAAAACACATAAGCAGTTCTCCAGTGCCTTCCTCATTCATATTCAGTGAGGAACAGTTCATATCCAGCTGTAAACGATACAGCTTATGGAAGTGTTTAAAATTCATAACTTACATAGAATCTCATTACTTGCAGCACTTACCTCTTTAAGGGCAGGAATTTTCTTCCTTCACTATCCAATCTCCTTTTTTTCCAGTATGCTGGTCTTATCTGCCCTGCATCCTGGAGGAAATAGTTTCAAGACTGGTCCATATGCTTAAAACCTACCCAACTCATTATATTCTTTTAAAATTTCTCCGCACTTGCTCTGGCTTGGAAGAGCAAACATTTCAGGACAAAGGGCCACAATAAGAATTTCATGAGCTAAAGGGATACATACCATGTTAGCTGTGAGAAGCTCAAAGTAAAGGCTTCAAGGCAGGTGAGGTTGAGTTGGATTGTTCGAGGTATGCGCTATCTACCAGAGTAAGCTTTCAGGGAAGGATGATTATTGCAAAGGTCCGAGCTCAGGTGAATGATGTCAAACACCTACTGGTTGCTCAGGTCCCACTGCTTAGCAGAAGGCTAGCAAGCATGTAAGAACAAGAGCCCTAACATGAAGCTGTGCTTTTCAGAATTGCCTAATGGCCTACAGATACATCCTCTGTGTCCTTTTGTTGAGACCTTACAGGAAAATAAAAGATTCGGAGTGATTAATGAAGTGATGAAGATGCAAATCCTGGACTTTTTCAAGGATGGATTAGTGTTCTTACCTTGGCTGTTAGGCTCATACTCCGATAGTCAGACCCTTGAGTTCTTGGCCAAATTACAGAGGCCAAATGAAAAAGTAGCAATGTATAATCAATATTCATGATTCTGAAGTTAAAAAAAAAGTGTAGGATAAATATAAAACCATGTGAAGATGGATACCCAGAGCTCCACGGTTAAGCATATTCTATGCATGCATGTGGTGTCAAGTTCTGTCACTGGTTCTCAAAAAGCAAGGCTGGAAGAGCCTTTTGCCTGAGATTGTGGAAAGAAACTAGGAACAGTAGATAGTGATGGGCTGGTCCAGTAGTCTTACGGCTCTGTGTAAAGCAGCCTTATATATTAAAAGTACTCCCATTGTGCTGCTTTAGTGTGTGAGACCTTTTCTCTCAGTTGCAGTGAATGTCATAGGTAGAGCAGTGGGATGGAGTGCAATGTGAAGGGTCAGTAACAGACAGAATTTAGGAAGGAGGCACCCAGTAGCAATGACACAGGCATTTGGACAAGGTATGAAGAGGCTTTTACAAGTGAAGATGGTGTCACTGTCAGTGTCTGGGTATGGAGAGAGCCCGATTTCACTCAGGGAGCTGGAGGGATTGGGACAAGATAACTTGGAGCTGAGACTCAATGAAAGGGAGAGAGGTGGAGGGACCGGGATGTTGGAAACAGGTATCAGAAAGCTGAGAGAAAAGGGGACCTTTTAAAAGAGAAGAGGAGGCTGTAGAGAGGTAGGCATTAAAAAGTGAAGCTCTCCCAGGCTTGATCACAAACACTAAACAGGCAATGCATTTGTCTGTTTAGTGCAGTGGTTCTTAACCTTTTCTTTACCACATACGCCCTTTAAATATCTTTTGTTGTCACAGAACACCAAGACTTGACTCAAGATTTTAAACACTACAATGCATCAAATATTTATTTAAAGTTTTTCATGAAGAGCCCCATTGACAGACAGTGACACTTTTTAAGATGACCAGAAAAGCATCATTTTGCTTTGAACAGGATGCCCCCTCATCAACATAAACAGTTCTTTTACGTTTCAGATTCAGCCAGTGATCCATTCTGAGGCTCAGCCAAAATGTGTTGTTAAGGAATTGACTACAATAATATCAAAAAGTCACCTTACCCAACAATAATCAAATTGTTTTATTAGCAAAAATTGAAGAAGAAACACAATCACAAAATCCATCTGCACACTCACTGACACTGACTGACTCTGACTCCTTCCCACGACTTCTGACTGTCTGTGCAGTAGCAAGACATGTCACATGCTGTCTTTCAGCCACTCAGTGTCATTCACTTGCATGTTCTTACCATGTGCAGACATATCAAACAGTTATTTGTTAAGAAGCAGTTATTTTCATAGCTGATTTTTTAACCTTTTTTTATGGAGGCAGTAGGTTAGAAAAACTAAGCTTTACACAAACAAGCAAGGGAAATTAAGATTTTGTTCTACACTTCCTTTTCTTTCTTTTTTCATTCATTCATTCATTCGTTCATTCATTCATTCATTCATTCATTCATTCATTCATTCATTCATTCATTCATTCATTCATTCATTCATTTCTGTTTTAACTACAGAAAATCATAACGTTTCTTACAGCCTTTGCAGACCCCCTGTGAGGACATCACAGCCTCCCAGGGGTCTGTGGATCACAGATTAAGAACCTATGGTTTAGTGCATTTGTCCCCTCTGGCAATTGTCAACTTGCTTAGCTGAACATCTGGTCGAATGAAGAGAAAAATGGTCTCTAGCCTGGGTGTTAGCTAAGTTGTAATTGGGAAGTCGAAGAGGTGTAAGAAGAAGTATTTATTAATAGATTGAAACCCTGTTCTGTTTTTGCTTAACAGAATCTCTGAGCCTTTAGCTCTAAAGGCAGTATGAGAAAAATGTTGCTGTCCAGCAGTGAAAATCGGTTTGGTACATGAAATGCAGTGTTCTTATAAGTCAGTGGCTCCCAATCTTGGGTAACCCAGGTGTTCTTGGACAGCAATTCCCAGAGGCCTTCACCACCAGCTGTGCTGTCTAGGGTTTCGGGAGCTGCAGTCCAAGAGCACCTGAGTTACCTAAGGTTGGTAACCACTGTTCTAAGTGATTGCACTGTCTTGCGCTAAATGCTGTATTATCCTAAGTGATTGTCTTGTCTTGACTTTGGTATTATGGGGGTGGTGGTGTCATTATTACTCATCCTCCCTCAGAAGCCTCACTCACTTGCTCAGGCTTCATGCCTTCTGCCATAACTTGTGTAAATCAATTTCTCCCCTACAGGTGTGCCTCATTTTTGTGAATTTAATTTCCTGTCACCACACTCCAGTAAATGTATGAGGCTGAGGCATTTTTCTTCATACAATTATTGTTCGACCTCCCCAAATACTTTGTGCTTACAACTACCTTTCCTCCACATGTGAAATAATGGTTGAATCACATTGTTCCCTCTTGTTTTGAAAGTAGCTTATTTGTGCATTTACGTTAATGTAATTACTCAGATAGAAGGTGGTTTTCTGAAACCTGTAGGATCTGTTAGGTTCGGAGTATAAGTGATTTGATTGGGAAGCCAAAGTTGTACTGTTGTGTCAGTGAGTAATCTTCCTGAAGGACTGGTACACAATTATACTGGCAGAATAACGTCACTCTTCAGTGAGGAAAGTTAGGGTGTTTGTAGCCTTGGGAGAAGCTAGAGTAAAATGTTCTGGAAAAGGAGAATGCAAATAACATTTATGAAATACTGCCAGTACAGTTATGTTCCACATTTCCTCTAAGGAGCTCAGAATAGCATATGCTCTTGTGTTCCCATTGTACCAACAACCTTGTAAAATAGGTCAGATTAAGAGGGAGGGAGTGGTCCAGTGTCAGCTATGGATCTTCACAGCTGATGAGGATTTTATTGGTCTCCCCAGTCTTAATCCATCATTCTAATTAGTTCAGTAACTGTTCCATAAAATACAAAGAAATTATACTGTTTTAAAAGAAAAGTTGTGTATGAGATTTGGAATCAGCTTTTTTAGGGCCAGTACAAAATTAAAGCATCTAGAGGCTATCATAACAGATGTCATCTTAAAAAATGAATTAATTATTCTCACACACACATATAGGAATGCCTCCTTAAAATGGCACTTGCCCTCTGTAATTTTAATCAGTGTTTATACTTATTTATTTTTTATTTATTAAGTCTGCTGTCTAAATT